AAAGGAGGAGGCTACAATGCTTGATAAGAAATGTACTCATTATCTTGCCCATGTAATTGTAACCTCTCTGTACAGTATTTTCACAATAAAAAATTTAAAAAAACTGAAAAAGAAAAATACCTTTTTTGGCTATATTTTCCAATATGTATTCAGATTTCTGCCACCATCATGATCCACTTCATCTCTCTCCTGGACTACTTAACCTCCCACCACTTCCTGTTTCTGCTCTGACCCTTAGAGTATAATCCATCTGTGTTTGCTGTCTATGTCTGAGTGTGTGTCTGAGGAAACACTAACCAAATTTAATACAAAATAAATTATGCTGTTTTTGTATTCAGAACTCTCAAACAACTTTCTATTTCACTTAAAGTCTTTTATTATAAAGACTTCAAGCTCTTACCTCATCTTTTAGAGTTCTCCTTCCTTATGTCATCCCTCCTGGAAGATTTATGCTATTTCTCAAGAATTCCAGATAAGCTTTTACCTCAGGGTCTTTGCACTTGTCTTTCTCGTTCTATTTTACCCATTCCTCTCAAATATATGCAATATTTACTACTCTGTCTTTTTAAGAGTCTTTATTCACATACTGGTTTTTCCCTATGTCATTCCCTGTATCTGTGAAGTTTATCTTTATAACATCTTCATCTTTATTGTATTATATATTTCATTTATTATTTACTTATTTTTTTACTCTTTCCAATGTAGGCTTCATGGAGGCAAGAGATCCTATTTACTTTGTTAAATGTTGTATGTCTCATCTGGCAAAGAATAATTACTTAATAAATATTGGTTGGATTTAAAATACTGCACTTTAGAATAGATGATTCTTTTTTTTTTCTTTTCTTGGACTGTGGGGTACTACAGTGTGAAGTCAGAACTTTGTGCTTGTCTCTCAAGCACACTGCCATGACCACCACCTCAGACATTTTCTCTTAATATTGTGTTTAGCTTATCAGCCTCATGCTGTAATCTTTACCTCCTAAAGAGCTTGGGATTACAGATGTATGTTCCCAGACCCTAGATGATTGAAGGAGCAAAGAAGGGCAGTATTCTAGGAAAGAGAAATTTGTCACAGTGTAATTCTCATCTTTTATCTGAAAGACATGTAGTAAATTTACCAAATTACTTTTGGTACATATTGGTGATGGATATAAAAGTTTAGTTATATTAATCTCTGTCTCTGTAGACCTTAAATGACAAATTTGAAAAATTTTGAACATGTATGAAGATTATATAGGTAAGAAGATCAAGAAAATTTGAGTATATTTATCTATTTTATAAAAATTTTATAAAATTGTTTTTTTGGGAATGGGGGTCACTTGTGGGGTTTGAACTAAGGGCTTGGACGCTGCCCCTGAGCTCTTTTTGCTCAAGGTTAGTATGCTACTATTTGAGCCACAGCTCCACTTACAGTTTTCTGGTGGTTAACTGAAGGTAAGAATCTCATAGGCTTTCCTGCCTGGGCTAATTTTGAACTGTATCTTGTCATCCTCAGATCTGAGCCTCCTGAGTAGTTAGGATTACAGGTTTGAGCATCAGTGCCAGGCAAAATTTTATAAAATTCTAACATAGTAATAATACAGTATAGTGCACACTGGTGAATAAACAGGTAAGTCTTTAGCTTGTACAATAAGTTTCAAAATTAAAGAGTATAGAAATAAAAAATAGAAGCAAACCAGAAGAAATTATACATGACTATTTAAATTGTGAGTATTAAACTTTTCAAATATATCAGATGAAATAATGTAATTAAATAAGTGTAAATAACTCAAATATATCAAACATAACTGCATTTATAAATATTTTTACTCACCTCAATATCATTGTTTCACTTATGCTGTTTGAATCCTAAGTAGTATTAAATTTAAACCTTATAAGCAAATCACAATGAATTCAACATTTCTTTCTTGAGGAAAAAATGAGTGAATCATATTTTACTTTATTACTGTGTATATGGAGACAATGTCTATTTGGATCCCCAAATTAAAAGAATACATGGTCAGACAATTCCTTTTCATGCATCCTTTCTCCAAATATAACCCCGAACTTCATTCTGATTTTTAATATTTGTTTTTCTTAAATTTCGGTTCACAAAATCTTATAACTAAAGCAAGTCCAACTCAAATGACATCTGCTTCATGAAACATTTTGCTTCAATAGCCAAAATATCTACTGTCCTTGAATTCCCATAGATCATAGTTTATCATTCTTTCTCACACTTAATTGAAAATGTACAGAATGCTTCTAGTAGAGAAAAATGCTACCAGATTATTGAACTTATTGTCACATCTTACTTTTAGTTTATCTTCACTATGTGATCAAATAGTTTGTTGTGAGCTTTAAAAAAGCACAGAGATAAATCATATAGTCCCTGCAAATAAAAGCAAAGCAAATGAGTCATGTCATAAAGTTTTCATGAATTTTAAGGATGTGATAGATGACTTGTCACACAGCACATGGTAGAATGAACATGACAATATAAAAGAATCTGCCACTGAATCAGTTAGTACCATGTCATATTTGTAGAATTTATCTTCAAGAAAATCATTTCTAAATTTAATTAATATTAACTTGAAGTTTTTATAGATACTTTATATAATTTTAAAATACATTTTGATTTTATAAATATTTTGCATGCATGAGGTGTATATACTTGATGCTATAAATCAGTATCAGGAATCTAGTAAGACTTTGTTTCAAAAGGATTTGTATATGACTAAGGAAATACTGGTGCAGACTACGTCTTGTTTGTTGTAGAGGTCAGAGCTAGAAGAAATCAGTGTTAGAATAGTAAGAAACAAGTTGGGATAGTCTTTTCTTTTATCTTGAAAACATGATGTTTTATTCACTATAGCAACCAGCCATTTATAAAATAATCTAAAAAGAACTTCTTTTAGATTTTGAATCAGTATATGTACTATAGTTGGTAACTTAATGTTCTAATTAAAAATAAAAGGGAAAAATAATTTTTTAAGTTTTTTTTCCCTGAAACATAGGTTTAGTATGTTATTTCTTTAGCCAGTATCTCATGTAGTCTCATACCATCCTGATTTGCAGCATATCAGTTTATAATATGTACAGTTTTGTATTAAATGTTTTAGATATCTAAAATGACACATCTCTTAATGTACATTTTATAATTATTTTTGTTTTTAAAAAATACCAAAATGGATCATAGATTGTAGTATTATAGTTTATTGAGAATCCAATGTTATTTTAGAAACATATTTTATTCAACAAACGTCAGTGTGCTGAATAAACATCAAGGGTATTTTTGTTAGTGAAGTAATTTTGAATATGTTTTGACCTTAATTTTATAAAATGTAGCATTTTTATGTTATGTTTAACTTACTAAGACTAAGTGAAAATTGTAAATACATTTACAAATACCATAAGTAATGTTATTTTGTTACTTCTGTTTAACATTTCTGTTGCAAAAGAACCCCTTGTCTTTTAGAGAATACAGTATCATTATTTACATTAATTTATATGGCGTGGTGAAAAAAATGCTATACCTCCTTTACTTAATGGGATTCTTCCCCTGTGGCAGTGCAAACGGCTAGAGCAGGAGCTTCATCATCTGAAAGAGCAGAACCAGACTTCAGCAAACAACATGAGACATCTGACTGCTGAAAACAATCAAGAACGTGCTCTGAAGGTAAATCTCTGCTCCTTCTTGCAGGCAAATTAAGGTTGTAAGCCCTTGGTGCCAGCTTTCTGGGCTGCATATATCAGTTGTGTACATTTCAGCAGAACTGAGCTGTGGTGTTTGCCAACAACCCCTTCTTTAAACACAGATACAGCACCCTTCTGTTGTGGTATTATTTTATTTCATGTATGTGTACATGAAAACAACATATTTTCTGAATTTTGAGTACTGATATATTAATAACTTTTGGAGTATATTCTCTTTATATTTTTATAATTACTAAAAGGTATTCAATCATATGCCTTTTCTTTGAATCAGTATTTTATTATTATAATTTTAAATGAATTATAAATACTAATAACTCACAAAACTGATTTTCCTTTTAGGAGATGTAAATATATTTGGGAACTGAAGAAATACTTAGAATGTTATCATAAAAAGAAAAATAAAGACAATGTATTCAACTGGAACTCCAAATAAGTTGAAGTACACATTTTATGACAAGTTCTGTACCATTACATGTAGATCCAAGAATCATGAAGAAAGTTCTTATTTTGATTCTACTAGTTGTAATTTTTTTCTAGGGTACTTGTGGCTTTTCGTTTACTTTTCCTTCACCTGGGTTCCTATCATAGCTAAAGCCTGGGTGTAGATAATCTCTACCCTCAAGGTGCTTGCCTTCTCATTAACAGGTTTTACAAAGTGTATGGAAAACAAAAGATGTGTCAATGTTTATTTACAGTAAGAAAAGATTTACTACCAAGATGATTGCATTGTACTTTATTGTCTTGCTATTAGTATTGTTGCAGATTACAGAGAATTAATGTGTTACCATAATTGAAAAAAATTTATCCTCAGAAATTGAGGAAAATATTAATATTTTTATGTGGAAAATATTTTAACCTACCCCAAAAATGTGAGGCATGGTAGAACTTAGATTTTTCTACAAAACATATTAGTTTCTTTCTTTCCTTTTTTTTTTTTGCCAGTCATGGGGCTTGAACTCAGTGCCTATACACTGTCCCTGAGCTGCTTTTGATCAAGGCTAGCAATCTACCACTTGAGCCCTTGAGCCACAGCACCACTTCGACCTTTTTTTGTTTATGTGGTACTGAGGAATCGAACCCAGGGCTTCATGCATGCTAGGCAAGCACTCTACCACTGAGACACATGCCCAGCCCATTTAGCTTCCCTTTTAAAATTCTTGGTCCTAGGCTTATAACTTTTTTATTATGTAATGCCATTTCTATTATATTCTGTGGAATTCTTGACAGACTAGAAAGATAAACAAGGAAAGGAAGACTTAGAAATTACTATGATTATTAATTATCCCCCTAAAATGTGTTACTTTATGAAAATTAAGTATAATAATTTTGAAGATATATACTTGTAAAATAGACAACAATATTGTTTTTTGGGTTTTATTGTTGTTGTTATTGGTCATGGGGCTCGAACTCAGGGCCTGGGTATTGTGCCTGATCTTTTTCACTCAAGGTTAGTGCTCCACCATTTTGAGCCACAGCTACACTTACACTTCCAGCTTTTTTGTGGTTAGCTGGAGATAAGAGTTTTATGGACTTTCCTGTCCCAGCTGGCTTTGAATCATGATCCTCATATCTCAGTCTCCTGAATAGCTAAGCTTACATTGTTTTCATAGAATTTTTTGTTCACTCAGCTAGGTTTTTACCAGTGTTAAAAGACATATGTTTTATGTTCAGCATCCTATACCTATTTCCATTTAAAACAGTACCTAAAATAAAAATTCAAGTGTGATACTTACATGGTAATTCTAATATTTAATCTGGCATTTCTGGTTTGCATTCATGTTAAATTTAGTTATATGATAGTAGCTATTTATAGAGAGAAATAAGTGCACATTGATAAGAACTTATTAAAATCAGAGGTAAATAAGTACACCCAAAGAGATGTGGAAATTTAAAGTAGACCTCTGTAAAACATTTCCTCAGACTATGAAATTTAAGGTAACATATAATTATAATTGATTTTTACTTATAACAAGTAGACATTAAAATCTTTGTTAGTGGCTCATCTTTTTCTGCAGAAGTCCAGAGCTTTTCAAGTTGTTTCTTAATCATGTATAACTTTATCCATTAACTAAATCCAGGTCCAATTTTGGTGGCATAAAGAAAGACAGAAGAATTATTTCTTTTTTGGGGGGAAGGGGGGTCCAGTCGTGGGGCCTGAACTCTGGGCCTGGGCGCTGTCCCTCAGCTCTTCAGCTCAAAGCTAGCGCTCTACCACTTGAGTCACAGTGCCACTTCCAGCTTTTTTCTTTTTGCTTATGTGGTGCTTAGGAATCAAACCCAGGGCCTCATGCGTGCAGGGCAAGCGCTCTACCACTGAGCCACCTTCCCAGCCACAGAAGAACTATTTCTGAAAACTCTTGTCAGCTCTATCTCTCTGAAGTTGTGGTATTCATTTAAACTCTATGTAAATGTCCGTTATATATGTCACTGACTTTAAATCATTTTTTACTTATTTATACTATATTTCCTCATGAACAAACATGAATTTATTATGAAAATAGATTATTTATAATACATATTATAATACATGTTATAAATTATATTTTAAAAATTGTTTTTTTCAGGAATTCTATTGATTTGGTAACTTTTTAGCACTCCATGTCTTTAAGTTGTCATGGAAGCTATGAGTAACACGTTTATTACCAAGCTATCTAGTAAATAAAGGTTTCAACTTATATTTTACAACCAGCAATATGTATCATTTTTATTTGTTAATGAATATAATATTTAGTATCTAAATTAGTATTAAGAACTTTTTAAAACATTTTCTAAATAATCATATATACCACTGGGTGCCAGAAGCTCTTGTCTGTAATCCTAACCACTTGGGAGGCTGAAATCTCAGAATCACAATTAAAAGTTACCCCAAACAAAAAGCCTGTGAGACTTTTTATCTCCAATAAGCTATTGCAAAAAAGCTGAAAATGTAGCTGTGGCTCAAGCAAAAGAAGTGTAGCGACAGTACCTAGACCCTGAATTCCAGCTCAGTACTAGAAAAAAAAAAAGTTCTATGTACATAAAAGCTTTCAGTCTAAAAGTAATGTTTCTAATGCTTTATTATAAATGGTATCATGAATAAAAATAAACTTTAATAGAGTAAGAATTGAAAAAGTCTTGCTTTACTTCATTGAGTTACACTAAAATTTCTGAAAGATTTAATAGTAGAGAGATATTTGGGGGCAAAAAATCAAAGCTAATAGTCATCTGCTATGTAGGACTTTCTAAACTCATAATTATGGCAAAGCCACAGTCACACACACACACACACCACACACACACAGAGGAAATACTTTTCAATAACCTAGTGACAGTCAAAAATAATGTATTTGCTTATCCTCGCAATCAGAAAATTCTTTCTAAATTATTATGGTGCAGCATAGGATGTGTGTGTGTGTGTGTGTGTCTGTGTGTCTGTGTGTCTGTGTGTCTGTGTGTCCTTGGACTTGAACTCAGGAACTGGATGCTTTCCCTGAGCTTCTATGTTTAATGCTAGAGTTGTACCATTCGATCTGAATTTCGGTTTTTTGGTGTTTCATTGGAGATAAGAGTCTCAAGGACTTTTCTGCCCAAGCTGTCTTTAAAACTTGATCTTCATGAGGCTGGGAACGTGGCTCAGTGGTAGAGCACTTGCCTTGCATGCCTGAGGCCCAGCACCACATAAGCAAAAAGAAAAAAGCCGGAAGTGGCGCTGTGGCTCAAGTGGAAGAGCGCTAGCCTTGAGCTGAAGAGCTAAGGGACAGCGCCCAGGCCCAGAGTTCACGCCCTACAACCAGACCCAAAAAAAAAAAAAAAAACAAAAAAAACTTGATCTTCAGATCTCAGAATCTGAGGATCTATGATTATAAGTGTGAGCCATCAGAGCCCAGCTAGGATTTGATTTTTGATGATTATTTAAAAACATTGTTTTTGGAGTAGCAAGGAATTACAGTAGTGGGACTTTTTTAGACATGAGACTTCTTCTATTTTTATATTTTATTTTTTTTCTAATATAGCACAATGGTACCTATAGAGTGAGGGACTGAATTATAATAACACCAGTATATACTCAGATTACTTCTTTAAAAAACTAATTTTCTCATGTAAAATGAGCTCTATCTATTTTAGTTAAGAAACTTATTCCTTAGCCAGTTGTGGTAATACCACCTATAATTCCAACTACTTGGGAGGTGGAGATAAGGAAAATCATGGTTTGAGGCCAGCCCAGGCAACATGTTTGCAAAACTCCATCTTAGCAAACAAGCTAGGCAGTAGCAGTGTATATCTGTAATCCCAGCTATATGGGAGGCGTAAGTAGGAGGAACCTGGTCCCAGGCAGAAATCACAAGACCCTATGTGAAAAATAAGTAAAGCAGAATAGACCAACGGTATACTTATGTGATAGAACACCTGCCTGGCAAATATGAGACACTGATTTCATACCCCCATACCAACAAAATAAAAGAGAAAGAGAGAGAAATATTTGTTGAAAAACACATTTTTTAGACCAATATTTAAACTTATACTGGCCATAAATATGTTGATATTAAACTTAATTACAAACTTCATATATACTTTCTTCTTTTCAATTTTATTTTTTTCCTTGTCAAGTACCTCTAGGCTTTTAAAATGTCCTCCAATGTAATTGCATTAACTGACTGCTGATGGTCAATTGTGATACATAGTACTCATTTTTACACTCAAGATCCTAATCACCCAAGGATAACACACTTCAGTCACATCAACCCCTCTCTCTTGAGACATTCTCCTATAATTCTCTTTGCTATATATTCTTCATGATTTTACTCTTTGATTCTTCTTGATTGCTGGTGCCCCTTTTTCTATGTACTCATAAAGTATAAATGGTTCTATAAATTATATAATTGGTTCTTTTCCCCTCACCCCTTCCCTCTAGTGCGGAGGCTTATGCTCTCAACGTAATGAATTACTCCTATCTGGTTTGCTTCCACTTGAACGATACCTACA